CTGCCGCAGCTTGGTCCTTCTGCAGCACCGGCTTGCCCCGGGTCGGGTACGTCCCTGTGCAATAGCTCGCTCTCCGCACCTCTAGGTGTTGAAGTGAAACACAAGTGCACGTTGGACGGACACTCTGCCCCGGTGCTGGCTTGTGCGTTTTCCTGCGACGGGCGGATGTTGGCGTCCGGGTAAGCAGCATCTTCGGCTCTCCAGCCCCTTGCAGCTGGCACCTGGCCAGGCTCAGGCTCCGGTGCTGTAAATACTGACTTCAAGATGTATTTCCAACGATTAAGGAAGAGTTCTGTCGCCTCCAGAACTACTGCAGCGTCTTTGCTATTGGTCGATGTTGTGGGTGATTCCGTTTGAAGTCTGTGATGTTGGAAGCTCCGCTCTCCTGAGCGTCGTAATGAGCTTTGTGATTCCCTGGTTTAGGGGATACGTGCCTTTCGTACTCCAGCATCTGCTGAGTGCAGATCGGCACCGGAGTCTCACCGGCCCCTGGGGACCCCGCTCAGGATTTCCTTCTCACTCAGGCCCTTTCAGGGACTTTTGGGAAAGTGAAGTATCTTGAGGTTTTTGGTTGAACTTAAATTCTCTCCCCTGCTGCACACCCGGAGGATGGCAGCACAGGCCTTTTTCCCCGAAACAGCGCGTGACTGTGGGCACTGTGGAGCAGGGTTTGGTGTCAGCGCTCTGCAGGAGAAGGGTTAAGGCTCAGTCGTGGACCATTGGGTGGAGACGGGTGCTGGTACCACTCGTCGGGGACGTTTCTGAGCTGGAGTTTCTACTTGCCACACGGACTGTTGCTTCTGTGTGCGTTGCTGCGAGCGAGCTGCCGGTGCCATACGGCCTTTCCGGGGGCAACGTCAGGACCTGCGCCGCGCGTGTCACGCGCTGTGTCGTGTCCGGGCTGCATCGCACTGCGGCGTGCACTCCGGGTTGGAGCAGAAGTGAACCCAGTGCTGAGAGCAGCCCTTGGCCAGGCAGAGCCGTGCGGCTGCGTGCAGACACAAGCTGCGGTACGGACAGGGAGGGCAGCGAGTGGGCCGGTTCGCGCCCGCCCCACGCGCTTTCCCCCATCAGAAACCCGCAGGAAGTGCAGAGGTCCCGCGTTTACCTGCCTGTGCGTCAGGCCCGAGGCACAGCTCATGGTGCCCCTTTAGGTTGGGGGAGGGGACTCGGGTACCAGTGGTGTTAAGAAATCTGTTCGCTCTCGTTTTGTTTGTGGAAAAGGGGGGTTCCTTCCTCTTTTTAATTAAAAACAGCTCCCTTTTTCTCTCTGTGTCATTTTAACACGGGTGTGTTGTTTTTTTTAAAAGGTCTGTGGACAAGTGTGTCATCGTACGTGAGCCTGTAAGTATGGGCAGTGTGTGAGCAGCTAACGCTGACGAGCAGGAACCGTACCAACCCCAGATATTTGTTGTGCGCTGGGGGGAGTTTGGGGGAAGTTTCTCCTGGGAGTTGCTGAGCCCGTCTCCCTCTTACACACCCTTCTCTGGGGATTTGTTGGTTTTGCTCTGCAGCAGAGGTTGCTCAGCTACATGTTGTCTTCGGGTTGGAGTAGAAGGGTTTGTTATCCTTCCCTTAGCTTCCAGAGCAGGAAGGGCAGGAAGGGCTGTAGCTTTTGACATCAAATCGAGAATGCCGATCATAGAAATTCCTTGGCTGCCTCTGCGGAGTGCACACAGAGCAGAGGCATAATAAAAATTCAAGACAGTTTTTATGTTACATACAGTGTCTTTTTTCTAAGCATCTGGTTTAGGCATTTTCTGTAGGACTACGTGTGTGTGATGCTGTTGACACGTCTTTTGCGGCTCACCCCGAAGTGGAACTTTAGTACTTCATGGTGTTAAGAATGATTGTGCTGAAGGTGGAGGATGAGCAGCTGTTGAGCTTCTCCAGGTTGCTCTGCACGTACCAATGTCCCGAGACAATTAGTTCAGTTAGGGCTAAAGTTTTGACCCAAGTCACTCATTTGGTACCTTCCCAATTTGTGGCCCCATTGCTTTAGGAGTTTGAGGCTTTGACGGGTGTGCAAGACGTTCCCTAGATTTTTGGAACCCCAGGAAATGCAGAGATGCAGAACGCCACAACAGGATTTCGGTCCTGTTCGGCAGCTTTTGTGGCCTTAGGTTTTACCAGATGGGACCACAACTTCTACAGCTGTTGAGAAGTGGGGACAGACCAGGCAGAAGTCAACCCCAGTGAGAGGGAGAGAGAGAGATTTCAGCCTGGAACAGGACATTTTCCTCCTTGCGGACAGCCCGAAACCGAGTGCTGGCGATCGGTCGGTGGTGCAGAGTAACTTCCCTCTTCATCTTTCCAGTCTGTCTGCGTCTGTCAAGGAACCAGTACCTGTCATAAGAAGGAAAGTCTTTCAGATGAGAAGTTAAAACTGCAGAAATTCAGGAATTTGGGCTTTAGTAGCACCCAGTGATGCTGCTGGAACCACGGGTGGGCGTGCTGCTCGGCCCAGTTGGCGCAGCCAGCGCGGGTGCCGTCAGTTCCGGGCATTCTCCCGTCACTGTGCTGCCGGTTCCAGGCTGGTGGGGAGCGGTGTTCCGCTCCGGTGGGCTGAACGGGGGCTGCCAGCAGGAAATTTGGGTTGCGTTGCTGACCGCAGCCCAGCAGCCCCGGCGAGGTTGCGTGACTACATCATCGTCCGAGACGTAATGTTACTCCTTACTTTGAAAGGAAGGCTATACATTAATGAACATTCTTTTTATTAAGATGTAAAATCACAAATTCTTTTTCAGAGCACTGGCAGCACCCTCCATACTTTGTCTCGGCATACCAGGTCAGAATCCAGCAGGCTTACTGTGTTTTGATAAATAAGAGGTTCAGTCCTCAGCTGGGGCGTTCTCACACGCCGGTTTGCGTCTGCAGATACGTTACAGCTTGTGCCTTCGCACCCACTCGTCCCTTGCTGGCCACAGGCTCCATGGATAAAACGGTCAACGTCTGGCAGCTTGGCCCGGGGC